GACGCACAACGCGGCAGTCGCACCAGCAAGACTTATCTTGTTATGGTACACTGCACTGCCCTGTACAATAGATAGAGATTACACAATCGTACAGTTATGCATCGTACCTCATACACTACAGTATATCCTCCCATCAGAAATAAACGAACTCACCTGTTTCCACGTGGGTGACGAGTTACATTAAGGTGACGTCGCTTGTTCACATCTTTTTTTTTGGACCAGTGCTTTTTTGTTCGATAACAATGCCAACAATTTCCCCGCCAACTAGACCATTCACTTCCATCCGAGCACATTTGCAAAGCAGCCCTGACCGACTACTCTTTGAGAGCATGCTGGACACCTTGTTTCTTGTGACACAGACTTTGAAGTCAATTCATTGAATTCTTCCTTTAAGCACATATTTTCTTGCCTTGCAACCTTGCCATGTCTGCGCGCAAATATTGTACCATGTGCGCAATAAAAACAAGTGATGCCCATATTAACTATTTTTGACACACGCAAAAAGACAGGTCTTATTAGACTGCACACTTTGCACAAAAAGGTCTCCAATGAAGGTCCTCTTCAAGCCGCAGCACCAGTGGCGACGTGCCAGTGGCACTCAGTTTTGAGAAAGCACATCCACCAGTTCTTCTCTCAATTGAATCGCCTGCGTACAACGAGGTCAAAATGTGCTTGTGCGGGAATGAGCAATGCACCCGGCTGGCAAGATCCCCTCATCTTCTGGAAGTCCAAAGTGATACGAGTGCTACATTCAATGAACATTTCTGACATGGGTACAGTACAGACTACATTTTGAGCCACAGTGCACTACGTTTCTGCACTCATGTTTGCCCATAGCTTCCCGCCCTCATCAATACTCTGTGGGGATGACAGCACCATCTCTCTTCACCCAAAGTTTCGCGGAATGCACTTTTAGGCTTTGGGCCATCTTTTCCAATACTGTACAAGGGTACAGTATTGCATCGTTCTCGAGATCCTCTTGATTTAGTACTGCACCACCATCGTCCAACCGTTCGTCACTCTCTTTCTGAAGAAGTTCGAATCAGTGTGCCAGTGACCCCGCTCTACGTTTCCGTATTTTATAGCACTGGTTAAAATTAATTACCCTCTAGCTAGGAAGAGCAAGACCGGGGAACGTGACACGAGTATTGGAATATGTATTCACACAATCACGGCCGCATTTGAAGCATGTAGCAGCACGCGGCACTGTTGATCCCTCTCTCCAAACACCTCTCGCGTATTTATACCAGGACAGATCTACTCGTACTGCTCTTCCTCTCCTTCCCCAGTCGTCGCAACTAGCCTGATGCGCGCAAGAGTTTCACGCTTTGCTTCTTGAACACAGCCATGAACAGCCTTGCCAAAGATGAAGAGTATGGGACAGAGAATTCCAAACAACTGCCCGAACGCAGGCGTTATCGTCCCTTTATTCACTACGAGACCTTTGTTTGGGTTGTCTATGGCACGTTCGCAATCTTGGCCATCGTTGACCGCTTTGTTTGGAATGTCTGGGCTCGAGAGACGTACAGAATCGGTACAGGTACAGCCGGGTCAGACTTTGTTGACGGTCTTAAAGATGGCCCTTGGTCTGTAAAGATGTATGATGCGGTTGCCAGAATCAGTGGAAGATTTGACATTGTTTCACTGAATTTACTCTTGTTCACCATGTCGCACACTACGTATGCCTGGTTGAGCCAAAGCTGGCTCGCAAGAAATGTTTTCGACATGAGAAACTACATGGCGGCAAACAGAAGACTGCACAAATGGAATGGCATTGGTATCGTCGTGGCCACCCTGCTTCATGTGTGGAGCATCGTCTTTCCCTGCATCACCCACGGTTGGAAAGCTCAAGTTGTGCTTGGTCACTTTGAATGGATTCTCAGCGAAAGAGGGCCCAAGGGTTTCAAGGACATCAACGTCGCAACCGAGACAATGAGTCTTCAGGGAGATGATGTTTTCCGTATTATCGAGATGACAATCTTGCTGGGTATCCTCCTGCCGCTAAGCATCAAATGGCTTTCAACCAGGTGGCATCTAGGAGTCCAGCTGCACAATGTCATTTCCACTCTGTATTTCGTCGATATCGTTCGCAGACATACCCATCCCCATTCATGGATCCTCAACACACCATTTTTCTTGTGGTGGGTGGCTGATCTCATAGCTGGGGTATACTGGAAACGCCAAAAGCCCGAAATCTCCCGCGTTCACCTCAGCCAGGACTACATGCTGTTATTCTGGAACCAACTCAAGAGAAGCACCACTGTCGGTCCGAAATACTTTTTGAAGTTGGAAGAGTCGTCGCGAACGGAGCGTGCGCACGTTTTCACTGGCTTTGAGAATCGCGCAAACCTCAACTTGATCGACGACAAGTGCTGGTCGGCATGCTTAATAGTACGAGTCTACCACAGCAAGCGGAGGCCGAGGCTCGGAAAGAAGGACAAATGTTCACACACTCAACGGGTAGCCGAGTCGACCGACCTTAATCTTTGGACGTGGGGACCGTTCTTGGGTGAGATGTCCGAAAAGATTCGGGTGGCCATGGAGTCTGGCCACCGACCGATTACCCTAGTCGCCGGCGGATCAGCAGCTGGGTATCTCATCGATGCCGTTCAGAAGCATGGGTTGGAGAACAATGAACTGTCGCTGACCTGCCTTTACACATGCCGCGATGAAGGACTTTTCCAATGGGTTACGCAGGTCTTTGCAGCACTGACCAAAGATGTAGCCAAGGAGAACGTTCGCATAGTCGTCGCATTGACTGATGGCGGTAACGCAGATGACGCAGAACTATCGGATATGGTTGAAAGTAGGGTCAAGGCCATTTCAGATATCACTGGTCGATCGTCCTCGTCTGACGAAGATAGTTCAAAATCATCTCTTAGCCTCCAGTATGGTCGGCTCAACTTTTTTAAGCAAATTCCACGGCGAAGTCTCGTCTACTTTCAGGGTTCTGGAGGGCTTCAAAATGCAGTATCCAAGGGATGCAAGAGCAATCGCTGTAGACTGATCGCCGGACCCGCATACGATCAGGACGAGAAGAAGAAGAAGAACTTGCTCGAAGCACTTCGACTAAACTGTTTTGACAGGAAGGGGCAGGTAGTGTAATTAGGTAGTTGATCAGACTCGATGAGTATATGATGTGAAACTTTTTGACATGTACAGTTTTTGCGCGACGGGTTTGAATACCTTCTATGTTTCCTCTAAAGACGTTTCTTCTCATTCTGGAAAACCTTTGTGTTCCCGGGCAAAACCTCGCTGCAATGTACTGGGTCTTTTGCCGCCTTGTCATTGCTACACTGAAGCCCTGCGAAATGCTTCAATTGTCTCCCGAAAATATCTCCCAAGCTCCAGAACAGGCTCATGCTTCATGAATGGGACCGAAATCCCAATTTCTAGTCCAGCGGTTAGCAAATGGGCTTTCGGTCTCACTGTTTTCGATACCGTTTAGTGGATGGTTCGCAGACAGCTGTTTGTCACAAAACATTCTAATCCGGTTCCCATATTGCCGGTTCCCACACTGTACGAGAGAGGTAACGCATTCTTCCAGTCGTTTTACTCCCATTCATACAGCGTTACGAGCACGACCGTGATCGAATGATTTCGCGGCAAGCATGCTGATACTACAAACATGGGGGATGGACGCAGAGCAGTAAGAATATTTGTCTCGTTTTTGCCCTTTCACAACGGCATGCAATGTGATAGTGTGTGCCGTACGGTACTTTCGCATGTTTAGAACGTGTCTTGATCTTAAGCTTTTGTTGTAGTGAAGGAGAAAGCTATGGTTGTGATACGATGTAAATATGGCCCATGTGCACTTCAGCATGCATCCTGTTCAGAGCAGTGGTCCTCAAAAGACGCGAACCAGCAATACATGGGCTATTAACGCTTAAACATGCTGTTGGACAGCGGTAGCACCCGAGATGTGTTGCCGTTTTACATAGATCATGCCAAATCATGCCCCTTTGAAGTGGATTGTGATTGCACAAGGCGCGGTATTTCTGTATTATTGGATCAGCGACGAGCTTTCCGGTGACACTCCTTTTCCATGTACGCCTGATACTCTGTCGCAGCAACATGATCTTGCTTTGATGTTTTTGAATGCGAGTTCACCAGCGTTATCATAACATAAATCTCTGCGAATTTTATTTCTTTTCACTTTTGATGGCGACGGCTTCTAATTTTCTTTGGTAGAGCGACTGCTTTTAATTTTGGCTTAATGTTGCAATCAGTAGGGGGACAAGGTCAAAATCTTTCGGTGTCAGGGGGGGACATATGATATTGTATCGATACAGTCCCCCTCCCAATCTCAGAATGACCCTTTAATTTTTTTGTGAGTTTAGAACCGAACAGAAAGCCCTCAGCGCAATGTTTCTATGCTACTGTTCGGGTCCCTCCACAGCACAGCGCCTACGTGCCCAGTGTACTGGGACGTAGGGTACAGTTCTACACCTCAGCTCTCCCTCTCTGGTTCTAAGAAAGGATCAACTACAGTAATGCGTTGCCAGTGTCCTCTAGCTAGTGACGTAGAAGATACTGCGGGTTGGTTTCGGTACAATCTGACCCATTGTCGATGGCCATCTAACATGCTACAGTATTGATTTTCTTCAATTTAGCAGAATTGAAGTCGACCACGTCACACAATCTGGAACGCCCTGAGACTGCATCTGTACATGCAATGCAGCTTGAAGAGGTTCTCGTGGGGCAACTCTTAACGAAATAAATGCACAACTTCAACAAGGCAACGCAGATTGTACTATATTCACACTACAGTGCCAAAGCGCTGTACAGTACAGCGTGCCATCCAGTGGTGGATCCAATCCACACAGATGTGTGAAGCATGTCGGGGCCCTGAAGGTCAGTAGTACAGTACCCTTTGGGACTGTACTTTATATCACGGGCAGCGGACGTCAGTCAGATGCCGTCGGGCGGTGTGACAGCAGTCTGTACACAAAGCATGGATGAAACTGAGCTGAGGCCAACACAATCCACAAGTTGACAACGGCATTTTGAAATCTCCTGCTTCGATGCCACGGCTCGCAGACGCTCATCGAGTCATCTGGATAACAGTAGAGTCGATCAAGTGTGTAGCTTTGAACGTGTCTCTCTAGTGTGTTGTGTCTATCCGACCGGGGCTTGTTCTCATATGAGGACAGCTCTATTTTTGCAGATACAGTAATCTCTCTTTAGAAGAATGAGGACGGGAAAGGACATTATTATTCATGTAAAGAGAATATTCTTATGGCGGCAGTTATGATGCTTGTCCAGCAAGGTTACTGGCCCCTGAAAAGAAGGAATCAATTCTCGTTTGCTTCTGTCTGCGTTTGCACTTTGGCAGCTGAGAGATCTCTTTTGATGCACCGAAGGTAGCGTAGTACAGCCAAATTCGGAACATCCGTCTGACCATTATAGTATAATGGTATAATGATTATACCAACCAGATCTCGGACGGGTTCTCGCATGAGGTTTTTTTTCTCACGCAGTGAGAATTGTACTAAAGCTGTACGGTATGTATGTTCCTCACGGCGTCATCGTGTTGTCACGTATTGGCTCTTGGCTCACAACTGTCAAACCATTACAGTGACCCGATCTTTAATAATTCCGTTGCTTTTGTTGGTTGATCGTCCGTGCTCTCAGCGACAGCTTTCGGCTGCTCGTGTCGCGGCATGATGATGTACTCCAACGAGGCCCTTATCGCCGCCGTCGCACACCATCCGTACACACCTGCAGTCTTCGTTGTTGTACCACATGCTACTGTACAGTGCCAATCTGGTTCTTTGGTGCCAAGTCTTGCACTCGACCAGCGACGTAGGGAGTTGGGAGGTCAAGGGGGAACCAATTAAATGCGAGACAGTTTGGTCACCGTTATTTGCTACGTCGCTGCGTAGCCTCTCTGACGAAGTTCACGATCCTATCCCGCTTGCCTCTGTCAGCCGCCTCCCCCACTATAGCTCGGTCTACCGTATGACTGATGGCTCCAGCCGGTGTCCAACGACAGCTTTTTCTGCTTCTCCCAGGCTCTACTTAATGCACCGCACTATAACAAAGTTAGATAGCAGAGACCACCGAGTTGCATTTGAGAGACTGCACAAGAATGCCTCATTAAAACCACAACTCGTGCTCGTGGAAGGCAACAATGTGATTCTGAGAGGACGAAGAACACACCGTCCCGATGAGAAGGCCAATCAAAAATACAACAATGTACAAGGTTGGGTGCCACCTGTCACACTTGTGTTTAAAAAGACATGCATGCCCACCCACAAAAAGGCAGCACTTACGTATGTAACGTTAGCCATCGCGCGGCAACAATGACATTTAGAGAAACCATCATATTTTGCCCACACCATCGGGCCGAAAGTGTTGAAAGCTGAGCAAAAACGCCCCCGGATGTTATAAAGCGAATCGGTCCACATTGCCCCTTGCGCCCGACCCTGTACCGTCCCATGCCGCCGCCACAGGCACATCGGCCTTCTGTACCACCTGGCGCCTTTTCCAGCGGGGCATTACCATAGACGGGTACCTCCGACTACGTACCGTACGTGCAGACTTTTTCATATACTGTACAGTACCCTTGGGTAGCGCACGGCTAATTAAATTCATCATGCACTCCTTGCACCTGGCAACCAACATGTAAAAAGCCACGCCGTCCGCCCCTTGCGTCTGCTTGCGCACGGGATCGCAAAGTTCTGAACAGAGAAACTCACGTCATAGAAAGGTTTTCAGTTAAAAACCGCGGTGATGTTGGCCACTGCTTGATGCGTCATCCCTGAAGAAACTGAACGTTTCTATGTGATGATGAGTGCTCCCCCTCGGCAAGCCTTCCCGACTATCCTGTGTGAAAGGGCAAATTCAATAATTCAGGCAATTCCAGGAATTCCTTGTTCTGTCTGGTTTGAAAGTCGCGAGAGCCGGTTGGACGGAATTCACGTCTCAGAAAGTAGGGTACTCGGAAATGGCATTGCTGCCAGAAGACCATCCCGAACTGTCTTTTCGTTCACCATTTCTGCTTTTTTAAAAATAATTGCAGCAAATGCGACGATGTTTTAAACAACCTCCTGTGGGAATGGAAACTCTGCAATCCCAACAAGTACTGCAGCCACCACCCCGTTTGCGTTGAAGAGCACTCGGTTCTCGCGTTGAGGTTGAAGTGTACGAGGATGGCCTACGATACATCAGTGGCCAAAAATGCTCTCTCGCTTCACAGAAAATCCCTGGCACCAAATCTTACTAACGCTCAAGTTTATTGCAGCTTGGTTATAGATCGGAAAGGATCCATTCCACTCTCTAGACTCATTTTCCTATTGGTGCAGGGCACCTAGTACTGTATACGCAGATTCAACTTTTCTTCGCTCTCTTTCCTAGCCGCTGAAAACATTGTGTGATGTTATTGCTCCAAGTGTAACTACAACTCTCATTTTTATTTCCACTACCTCCACTAAAGAACATACACCATAGACCCAAACTATATGGAAATGAATATAAGACATGTACCAGGTGAAACGTGACGAAAACATTGGCGTACTGTACATTACTTTATTGAAAGTCTCGAATGTACAGTAGACCACAAAAAGCATTGCTACCTCGATGTCAAGCTTCGGGTAAAATTAATGAATATCTCTATGAATGCTTCACTCTTCAAATGCGATGATGCACCACCGGAAGGTCTCATACTAACCTGGTATTCTTTGCCGCATGATGGAAATACATGTCGCACAACACCTCAATTGTTAACCGAGCTCATGTCCATCACAGAAACCCCGCTTCGTTTCTTCCAGCAGTTACAACAATGAAGCTGAGGCCGGCAACGAGGGAAAACGGAACTTTTTGAATGGAGGACTAGGAGAATCCACTGTGCATTTCTACACTTTCCTCGGCGAGCTGTTGTGCTTGTACATATTCCCTTTCGTGCGGAGGGTAGGCTCAGCGTCAACAAATGGTCACAATTTGGGCAGCTTTCTTCGCAGTGGACTTGTGGGGAGCAATACTTGGTGGGCTTCTTGATAATGCTTTCGATCCCATACGTTCTTGATAGACAGAAGAAAGAGATTGCTTTCAGTGACGAAGCTTAATGGAATGAAATCCTTCTCCGTATGTTACGCTGATGGTTG